TATATATATATATATTATAGGTTATTATTATTTGTATTATAATAAATTGAATTTAGGCATAGTATTGATACAAAAAGTCAGTTAAGTCCTAAGTTAAATAGCAAGCACAAATTTATCTATCCTAACTGTTACCTTTAAAACTTCCTCTGATCCCCGGTTCGCGCGCTTCATCCCGAAAAAGGAATTTTCGTAGGATTTTATATATTTTTTACAATGTGGTTTTCCTCTCCATGTAACACAAATGAGAGTTATTTCCATCAAAAAGTCCACCTCGAAGGCAATTTTCTCCCAATATTTAATCCAGGAGTTCCCTTGTCTTCACAATTGGTTTCAAAATTAGACGCTACACATTGATAGTAGTAGATAGTTGATAGATAGTTGAACATTAGTAGTAGTAAACCCAAAATTGAGTCTGCTGTTCAGCTGAAACTTTGAGAAAAGTGTTATGATGACGTCATAGAGGATCGCCCTCTAGTATTATCGTTCGTGAAAAAAATCACAAACATCAATAAATGTCTATTAAAGAGAGATTAAAAATATCAAATCTATTTTATATGTAAGTGAAATATGAAGGACCCTAACGACCTTCATCGCTCAATCTCACGTTATCAGCCAACAATAAATTAGTTCTGATGCTTTCTGTAATCGACATCGATGATGGCACGTCAAATTTTCATAAAATTTACAAATATTTACTTCTTTTTTGACAAGTTTTTAATACTTATTAAGGGCATTAAAAGTGTCTGTATTAGAATATCTGAAAGTCTAAGTCAGTAAGGTCTGACTGATTGTTGTCTAATTTTGTTTATGTTTAAGAAGAACTGGAACTTTTTCATGTTTGGAAAAAACTTTTTTCGGTTTGCAATTTTAACAATAGTGATAATTTTTCATTCATACATATTACAGGTTCCTAAAACGCACTGTTTTTAAGAAACTTTATGATACAGAAAATGTTCCTGACAGACATTTACAACTTCTTCAAAGCTGACGGTAAGAATTAACACAACGTATATATAAATTTAGTAAAAAGTAAAGTATATCTTTCTGAATATTAGTATGTTTTGAATTAATATTAGTTATCCAACATAAACTTTTTAAGTACCGCTTCCTTATCTCGTTATAGACAGCTACATTTAATCTTGAAAAACAGAACAAAACATTAGAAGGTGCCAAATTAAATGTTAAAAAATATCAAAATTGCGGGTTTAAAAATACATTATGTTCAGCTGTTTCTGTTTAGAATTTAGTATTTTTTTCCCACAGTCATTAGGTAAGATGATTTTTAATGAGAAAATGTGGTTCGTTAACATCTTTCTCTTCTTAGCTTGTTTTCTCTGTAATTAAAAAAGTATTTATCTAAAAATTACGGTATGAATTTTTACGGTGAAACGGATTTTACGGATGCTGCACTCAGGGTGTCAGTACTTTTTAAAGTAATTTGAATAGGAATTTTTTATAATGTAGACAACAAACATTTAGAAATATGAGATGTTATGAAAATGATTTTGTTAGACCTAATGATGTAGAGACAGATATAAAGATGTTCATTTTAAACAAGGATGTTCGAAAAACTATTAGTCATTTACTAATTTTGTCTCCGTCTCTCAAATACCATTTGTGTTATTTTTTAGGCATGAGTAATAATTAGTTTGAAAAGTTACTTTCCTCACTTTTAGAGAAACATTTTAATGAAAAAAACAGATGTGGAAGTGAAGTAGTTCTTTACAGAGTCAAGTTTTTTGGCTCTGAAATATTCAGAGTTTTGATCCGAAATGTACAGTTATGTAGCAAACTGTTTAGAAACGTCCAAATATATGGCGCAAACTAAGATAATTTAAGTACCATAGCGACCATCATTGTCACACAACCATGGTCAGGCCCCAAGCCCCAGTTTTAGAGCTGTATCTTTTAGCGGCTATAATAGAAATGGCGCTTAATTTTAACCCAGGTCAGACAAGTGGATAGTACCTGAGTTCGTACCCCTCTGTCCAAACTTACACACCATAATCAACGAGACGGCTTTCAGCCACGACAGATTTAACGTACACCCTGCTGAATATACAAGCTGTTTTTTTTTTATCGACTGTCAGGATCGAAGTAACTAAACTCAGCTCTCCAACCAATGGTGTGAGCAAAGCCTTAACCGATTGCGATTCCGGAGCAATCTATTATGACGACCAGAGTCCAGATATTTTCCAACCACTACAAACTGATATTCATCCTCATATGTCCTCAATGGTAGCCGGATCCTGGGTTAGAGTCCCCTTACAACAGGCTAACTGTGGAGATTTTCGTGTTTTCCTCTCCTTGTAATGGAAATGCAGGTTAGTTCCGTCAAAAGAGTCCTCCACGAAGCCAAATTTCTCCCAATACTTGATCTAGGAGTTCCCTAGCCTTCTGGATTGTGTTCAAAGTTACAAGACTACGGAGTTGAACATTAGTAGTTTCAAATTCAGAATAGGGTTGGGTGTTATATTACGGTGGTAATATAAAATACCTGGCACACAAAAAAACAACTTAAAACAACTAATTTAACCAAAATTTTTTCCCCATTCATTGTTACCTATATTTTAATATTTAAAATACATGAAAAATTACAAATATCTTTACAAATTTCGTTACTCATACGTTTTACGCGTAAATATCAATAATATTTATGTTACTACACAGAAGTTATATTTTTAGGGGATGTATATGAAACTAAAACGCTTGTCAGACATCCAGAAGTTACAGTCTTCATATCAATTGCATATATAGTACTAGCCAAATGTTTGATACCATGGATACTGGAAAAACGGAAACCAATGGAGATAAAAAGAACCATTGTTGTATATAATTTGTTGGTTTGCTTACTGAATGGCATTTTGGCTTACATGGTGAGAAATTTTTTTTTCCCTATAACTACTATTTTTTTAGCCTTTTGATTCAGTTGGAACACCGGTGTCCCTTTTATTTATATTTTTTGGCGATCTAATTACAAGTAAAAATACAGTTTGGTATTTTTTAGTTATAAAAAATAGTCTAATAGTTGCTAAAAACTATATGTTAGATTATGTAATTATATTTGTACTAAAATCTTAAATAAGTAGTTTGAAAATATTTTTCTAAATTTATATTAAAAAATCTATCGATAATTGATATTGTAAATTAAAGAAATTTTAATGATGAAATCTTATTTATTTTAAGATAACCCATAGACTAATTCACAAGAGGAATACTTAATTTTACTCCGTTGCTAAGCAACCAAGTTCTGACTATAAAAAAATATTGAAATAATGTTCTGTGATTGCTCGGAGAGGTTTAATTATTAGCTAATAGAAAATATCTCGAAATTTCTAGGCAATAGACAATTCTTAAGCTGATTTCTGTTCTAAAAGCAAAGATTTTTTTATTTCTTTCTCAATATATTTGGGAAAAATTGTTCAGAAAATTGTATTCTAGAAAATATAAGATGCTTAAAAATGCTGACTACGTATTCGTATTAATAATTTTAAAATATATATTGAAGAAATTGATAAATATATTATTCCAAATCTATGCATACGTATGTATATTATTGAAATAGTATCAATTATTGAAAAAACAAACTAAAAAATAAAATATAATCACATTAACTTAGCGCAAACTGGTGTATAATCATATTCTATCTATCAGACGCATGCTTTTATAAAACTCGACATTCGTTGAATAAAATGTTTTTTATTCGATAATAATTTATTCAAATTTCATTACTAAATTACGAATAAATTTTCAGACGACTAAAAAAGAAGCATTGTATTTTATAGTTTAAAAAAATAAATAATAAATAATTAGCGATTGGTTATTAGCGAAAAAAATATGTACTAAAACATATCTATTAACACGCAAATCTCTCTCTCTCTCTCTCTCTCTCTCTCTTTCTCTCTCTCTCTCTCTTGACCTATAATTATTTCCCGTGTTAGGGTTCACTATTACCCTGTAATATAATATGTGGTCCAATTTAAAAATTATGGGTCAATATTAAGGTCTGATATCGCGTCTTGCGTTAGTTAACCATTGAAAGATGTCTTTGAATTTTTAAAGCATTTTAGAAAGCTTATACCNATCAAACTTGATAATATGATATTAACTAAATTAAAAAAAAAAAATGCTACCTGCCTTCTTTTTTTCCAAAACCAACGACAGAATATAGATTTGTATGAAATCTGTCATATAATTATCTCTCTCTCTCACTCACTCACTCACACACACACACACACACACACTCTTTTGCGATTTTTAATTGACATCTACTCAAACGTGCGCTTATAAAATAAAAAAATAATGATCTCGGGAGAGAATCATGAATTTATTTAACAATGGATAATAATCAATATTTAAAGCAAAAATGCTGAAAAATCGCAAAAATCACTTAAAATTGAAATAACTTTCAAATAAATTGGAATTTCGAAAAATATTTATATTATAAAAATAACTTAACTCAAGTGTGAACTACGTACTTCGATTTCAGTGGGCTACAGGTGGACCGAAAATGGTATTCTTCTCTAAAAGTTTAAGAGTCTATTCTCAAACTAATTGTAAAATGTGATTTTCTTATTCCGTCACACCCCTGTACTTTTTTTATGTATACCAACGTAATTTCAAGCTTCTAAATCTATGATTTTCTGCAGCAAAACAAAATGTTACGTAAAGCAAAAAAAAGTGGTAAAAAATTCATACAAAAAAAAAATTCAAACTGCAATAACTTTCGAACAAACTAAAATTTCGAGAAAAATTCTGTGTTAAATTAATAAACAAATATGGCACTTTCAGCATACCAACTTTCAGTTTTTAAGTTGAGTTCCTATGGCTTGTAGAGAAGCCCATACGTTTTTTTTAAAATTTTTTATGTTTTTTTCTTTACAAGTTTAGCAGTTAATAACTCTTGAACTAATAATAAAGTGTTAAATTTTTTTCTAATTTCATTGTACTTCCTGTTAGCTTTTTCTAAAAACCATTGCAGTATCAATTTTATTAAGTCTTTGTGCAACAAAACAATATCTAGCGTTAAGTTACATGTTACTTTGGAGCACAAAACAGCAACGGAGACGGCTCTTTCGATTTTTTAATATAGGGAGACTGTTTGGAATCATTGTAAAATTCATGTTCAATAACTTCAATTTGGTTAATTATTGAAGTTAAGATTCCTTGTAAAATCATGCCTTTAAAGATAAGTGCTTTTATTTGTTTTTTCTCTATTTACAGGCAATAGTTCTGACTGCTGAAGTTTGGAACAATAGATGTACAGTTAAAAATGGAGCAAACAAACAGCAAATACAAGTAATTTTTAACTTTGTATCATATTTTTTTATTCATCTTCTTTTACTTTATTCTACAATAAAACTATATAGTTCATTTGCTGAAATATTACAATTTATTAAATTCCCAAATGTGCACAAGTCATATTACTATTAATTAATAAAATATTTTTTTTCCAAAGCCCACCTGGATAATGACCTAGGTCATACAGGCACCTGAAGGGCAGATTTGAAGGCCACCCTTTCAGGGGCACCATATTAGGTGGGCCAACGTTGCTCCCACAGTCAGGACAGATAGTACAGAGAAGGAAAGAACATCCATGCCTTACCCGGGATTCGAACCCAGAACCTTTCTAATGCAAGGGCAGTTCCCTAAGCCTTACACAGGCCGGTCTAAATAAAATATTAAAAAATAATAAAAATTCGATAGAAATTATTTTATAACTGGAATTATCTTTGGACAAACGAATTTTATTATTGAGTGTAAATTTTTTCATTTCGCTTAAAATGCTCTCGGGATATGGTGAAATACGCAAAAAGGGGTCCAAACTTTTGACCGTTCTTCTTATCCGCTTGATTGGGGCCATAGAGTTATAAATCCATCCCGTTTTAGTCAGAAATCCAAATCCGTCAAAAAAAAAGCTGTGTTAATTCAAAGAAAGCACGTTTTTTTGTTTGATTTCGTAACTCAAAATGTTGTATGTACTTATTAATTAGCATATTTATTAGTATACAGGGTGATTCTAAAAAGATGGGCAAAATTTTAGGAAGTGATAGTACACACCCAAACAAACAATTTTTATCAAAGAATGCATGGTCGAAAACAAAACGCAAAGGTGCTGGCGCATTTGGAAAGTTGTTTGATGCAAACGTGAAAGCTCCNAATTTTCATGCAATCTTCTTATATGAGACAAAAACACACAAAGAACGATGAAGTTAAGTTATAAAAGCAAATTCAATAGCATGTGATTACAATAAGTGTTCAAAACAGTGGCCGGCAGCGGCTATGCACGCAGTACAACGGCAAAGAAAAGATAGGCAAGCATTCTGAAACACACCAGCATATCACGAACTTTCCCTGCCGCCGCCGAAAGCTTGGCGACAAGTAACGCAGCGCAGTAACTCACAACAGGAATAGAGCTTTCACGTTTGCATGAAACAACTTTCCAAATGCGCCAGCACCTTTGCGTTTTGTTTTCAACTATGCATTCTGTGATAAAAATTGTTTGCTTGGGTGTGTACTATCACTTCCTAAAATTTTGCCCATCTTTTTAGAATCACCCTGTATATAACCCTCAAACTATTAAGACTGAGTCCTAGACCATGAGGATTCACCAATCATTATATCAAAAGTTATTCAGGGTGGTCTGTTAATTTTTTGCGCACTCTACATACTTTAGTTATCAACATTTGTCAATGTTAGAACCATAATCGGTAACCCCATTAGTGTATGTTGATTGTCAACACATGATTGTATAAGTGAAAAATAATGATATCCAAAAAATATTTCTGACTTCTACCAAAGCATATACGTAATTTTCGACTCTTGCCAAACAACGTCATCAGTTACCAAATTCAGTTTTTTTTACAATAATATTTATAGGAATAGTGTTGTTGCTTTATATTCATTTTCATCCCTTTCTTTTGTTTAACAGAGAGGCTTGCACATAACGTGGTATGTTTGGATGGTGAAGCATTTGGAATTGTTGGATACGGTAAAAAAAAGCACATGTTATGCTTTTTTTCTTTTTTTTTTTTACTATTTGCAATTTTGTAATCATACATGTTTTTACGAAATATTTCTTACTGTCTTATTTTATGCTACAATTTTTTTTAAATCGAAGGAACGAAAATTAATTCCGAAAAGTTATAATTCATAATTTCATTGTTTTTCCATGATATAATATTTAATAGCCAAGTATGAGAGTTGCGCATAGCCTTTTTTTAATACTTGAAACAAATATTGATTAACAAAATGAATGATTTATTTTATGAGTGAAATATAACTGTATTTTTTGCTTTGTAAATGAAATACTATTCTATTAGAATGAATGAAATAGAATAATATGATAAAGATGTGTAAAAATATATGAAAATTATAAAACTATTATTACAATTCTAAAACACAATTGTATAACGAATGAGAATTAAATTAATATTGCCCTTCGTTTGATAAGCGAGCACCGCATGGGTGAAACTAGATTATAGTTCAGAATCCCACGGATAGACAGCAGCACCACTTATTCGCTTGTGCATTTCCTAAATTTAGACATAGATCTGAAGGAAAAGGAAATTTTCCCGAGATATCTATATCCATGATATTACTCAGCAACTGACCACAGGACTTTCGATACCAAAATTTTTAAGAGCACGTATTACATTACGAGCATTTATTGAATTATCAGAAATCACGGTACTTCTGCTGGACCGCTGGACTACCATGGCTCTTAATAAATTATTTTCCCACTAATGCCGTCTTCAAATTTTATTATTTCAATTCTAAAGTATAATAGAATTTCGGTTATACAAACATTTTTCATTTACCAAAATGATTCAAATGATTAGAACTGTTTTCTGTCTCTATGTTGTTTTTTGCGCACTTATTTTTTTTCTCCCCTTTTTTAAGTATTAATAATTGTTCTAATTCATGATATCTCGTAGCAAAATAACTGAATTTCAAATGAAATCGATAACAAAAATGAAAAGATGCTGTTGTTAATTTACGTCGCACTTGAGCTGCACAATGGGCTATTGGCGACGGTCTGGGAAACATCCCGGAGGATGATCCGAAGACATGCCATCACAATTTTTATCCTCTGCGGAGGGGATGGCACCCCCGCTTCGGTAGCCCGACGACCTGCGCGCGAAGTCGAGCACTTTACGGTAGCACAGTTTAACGAGAACCAATACCGCACACCCTCGGTCCCTACGCAGACTGATCCAAGTGGGTCACCCACCCGCACACTGACCGCAGCCAGTGATGCTTGACTTCGGTGATCTGATTAGAACCGTGTCTTAACGATCAGTCCACTGCGGGACCAAAAATGAAAAGAAGTGACGTCCATCAAATGAATACAGGGTCATTACAAGTCACCAAATAACAGTCCAAAATTAAAATGTGAGGAGGAGCATGGCATGTGCGAAGGTGAAGCAAGTAAATATGGGCGATATATTGGGAAATATTGATATTTTTTGCTAATCATGATAACGATATTAAATAGATTCTAACGATATATCAAAAATACAATAAATATCAATATTATGAGCTACAATAATATCCATACAATACTACAATGATAAATATCGAAAAATATCAATAACGACAATGTATTAAAACCTTTGTAGTGAAGAAAAAAGAATAACTTTTCCATTACCACTGTGTTTCACGGTTCAAGGACCTAGGTGCTAAGCTCTACTTTGCTTAGAACTATTTCACGTGTAAATATATAATAACTTATATGGAACTTTTATGTACTTATATATAACTTATATACAACCTATATGGATTTATATGGAACTTATATAAAACTTACATGCAACCTATATGGATCTTATATGCAACTTATATTGATCTTATATGGAACTTATATGCAACAAATGTGGACTTATATGCAACTTATATTGATCTTATATGGAACTTATAAGTAACTTCTATGGAACTATTAGCGATATAACTAGCGTATTGCTGGATGTATCTGTATATAGCTCTTTTCTTAAAGTCATGATTTTATAAGAACGTTATCTTTTTTAAAATCGGAGTCAAGCTTTCAAGAAATTCGGGAGTCGGAGTTGGATTCGAACATTTTAGCTACAAAGCTCTAATCAACGCAATGAAATCTGCACAAAACTGAAAGAAATACACTGAAACAATTAATAGAGCTAAAGAATTTCATTCTTCTTTAAATTTATTTTCCTTTCAGGAGGCTTTATTATAAAAAGTTTTATTATGTCTATACAACCAAAATAATAAATATTAACTATAATCAGTATCATTTGACATCATGCTGTTGATCAAGGCTAACTCATGCTAGTCAAAAATTACCACAATAAATCAATTTTCTTCTTATTCCTTTCGCTGGACCGTAAAAAACCTATTACCACAGAACTTACAGTAACACCTTTATTAGTGAAATTAGTACCTATTAAAAATAATCCCAATTTACAAAATACCAGTAATACTAATTACCGAAATTAATGAAGCATCATTGGAGTCAATAATAGTATGACGATTTTTTACGGTTGCTATTAACAAATAAATACCTTTTTTTTTTCATTAATTTTGCTTTTTAAAACATACTTTATTTTTCTCTATTTCAATTACCGTTGTTTTTAATTTATTTATTTTTATAGAAACACTTTTTAAAAGCACAGAATAAACATTTGGTTTCCGATAACTTTAGAAATGCTAATTCGGTGGCTCGGATGTCTGCTACAATAATCACAGAGCTTGCAAAAATATAATAATAATTGAACTTAGAAAAAAAAAGCATTAAACGTCTTTTTTGATTAAATAGAACTTTAAACTACCAAATATCACTGGCATTATTTTTTTAATATTTGAAGAAACAGAATCCTTTACAATTTAACTTTAAACAATAACTAGCGCTAAACCTATTAGAAATGTTTACTTTTAAAACATCCCTCCCGATCGGATTAATTTAAATTTTAAATTTATTTTTATGATCGGAGAATAAATTTGCTCCTTTTAGTCACTGCCCAAATTTCAGATCCCTAGCCCAAGTGGTTCTGGAGTTATAAGGGATTCGATATAGCATTCTGACTCAGCGGACAAACAAAAATACTAAGTAACCAGGAAGAAAAGGTTGAAAAAATTGGCATAATCTTCAAAATTTGAATGTTTTGATTTTTCAAAGCAGGTTCAGACACAATTCCTTTAGATTACGGAGTTCCTATTGCAGTTCAAAAAAAAAGTACCTAACTGCAAACCTGTTTTCTTAGACTATTTTATTTTCTATTTATTCTGTGATATGCATCATTGTACATTCTATTCTTTTTAGGTATTTTTTGCTCTTCGTAAGAAGAATAATCAAATAACTTTCCTTCATTTGTTTCATCACTGTGCAATGGTTCTCGTATTTGGGCTTGGTTTATATCTGAGAACTATTGGTAAGAAAATTAATTAGATTGGAGCCTCTTAATCGCAATCTTTTTCTGTAACATTTTTATAAAATATATAAAATAAAACTAACTCTAAAATCGCATATTAACCTTATAACGCAGATTTGACGCCGGAGAAATTTTTATATATATATTTTTTCTGACAAGCAAAAATATGTTTTGGCATATTTTAATTATAAAAAACTGTCTAATAGTCACTAAGAAAATGGGTTAGATTATTGGAACTTATTATTATTATGTGTTAGATTATATATTTGTCAAAAATATTTAAATCCAAAAAAAAAAGAAGTTTGAAAAATTTTCTACGTCTGCTCTGCGTTAGTGGGTTAACTACTTTTGTAAAAACCCATTTGTATCCTACCTCCCTTTAATAGACCTAATCCTATCTCCCTTTGATAAAACGCATCTTTCTCTTGCGTTAATGGCTTAACGCTGTTCTTCGAAGCTCTTCCCCAAGGAAAATTAAAAATAGCTATAGTTTAAGTTCCTTACACTTGAAGCAATACGATGATTTCCAACTATATGTATAATCTTGTCTTAAAGAATTATTTTGACTTTAGAACAGCCAAATAACTTAAACATTTTAAAAGTTTTGAAGTTTTTTTTAGAAAATCGCCCATTTGGCGATATTTTTCCACCTGGACGAAAATTACCAAAATCATTGCCTTATTCTCAGTTTTTTTAAAATTTTAATGTGTCCAAGTCATGCAGCATGGGAGTAAGTTTTGAAATGTTAAAAAATTAGACTACGAAAGCTTTCTATTTTTACAAAACTGTGGCTTTTCTCCATATTGATGTTTTGTACCATTTTCAAAATAAGCGTAGATACGCTGGTTTTAGATAGGCTAAACTTGACCCAACAGTCGTGAGTAAATGTTGCAAACTCACAGCAATTGTAAAAATAGCATATTATTCGCAAAAAAGCATCATTTCGGGGCCTTCGAAAGCTTAATATACGTTACTCAGTGGATTTTTGGACTTCGTTAATTCTTGGCAACAATCGTAAAAATGTCAATTCGGTGTTGACGACAGTTTGGCGACAAGCGTCAAGGCGCCATTTCAGCATTGGCGATATTTTTTAAAATCGCTTCAAGCTTGTAAGGAAAACTAGAATCATAATTAATTATCAATGCATCATTAAAACTAAAGTATAGTTTTAAACTGTAATGTTACTTACGAAAATTACTTGGCATAGTCAAAATCAATTGATAGAAAAATTTGTTCTTATGAACTCTTCGCTTTTAACCTCTCATTTCTGTCCAACTGAAGCTCTGTTTCAGTTTTGCTTTAATTATTGCATGAAACATTAATTATTTATTGCTTTTTAGCTTTCTTATGCTTGTTTGGTACAACATTAAACGTATCCATTCATGTGGTAATGTATTTGTATTATGGACTAGCATCCATTGGACCACGTATGCAAAAGTATTTATGGTGGAAAAAATATTTAACAATACTCCAAATAGTAAGTTACCCTTTTTGTTTTTATTTATTTCATTTTCAAATTTTAAAAAAAAATCATTCTGCTCTTGTCTACACGAGTAAAATATGTCCTTCAACTGCCGCCCTTATTGTCTCGTTGTAGTTTAAAATTAAAACAAAAAACTAACGAGAGTATATTGAAATAAAAGAATTTAAAAAATACAATTGAAACTACGTTGGAACATTAATTGATGTGAGCCACACTTTGAAGTAATCTCTAGTAAGTTGGATATTGTATAAAATTTAGGATAGTAAAATTGGTTGATTAATGCTTTTGAAATTATTATTTTTTACAAATGTGGGTTTTTAGTATATAAGTGACATTTTTATTTTAATTCTTTTATTTCCAGTGTAAAAAACGTTCGTAAAACGTTGGATCACTGCTTGGGGCTACTTTGATGTATAGTGTGTGGGTGCTTCCCCCCCCCCTTTTTTTTTGAACTAGCGATCGACTTTCGAACTCTTTAATGCAATACATTTCTTTTGTATATTTGGCTTCTAACTAAAATTTATAAACATAATTAACTTTTAAATTCCAAAAATATGCTGCTATTTAAGTCATATTTAAGTAGAATTTTAAAGATAGCAATCTTAAAAACTGTGTATTTTAAGAATTCACGTGAATGAATAAACTTCATTAGGCAGTAGACTAACAAATGAATAAATAAATTGAATCAAAAGAAATAAAAAGTTTCTTCCTCAGCTTAAAATAAAATTTAGCTTTTACTTCATACTTAATCAAAACTGTTTGCAATGACTTTCATTTCAAGTTTTCAGTAAAATATGCTTAATAGATTTACTTGATCCATGGTGGCTCAGGGGATAGAGCACTCGCTTCCAATAAGGTGACCCCAGTTAGAATCCCAGCAATGGCTGATCGATACGAATTCCGCACCCGGCTCACACCGACCACAGTGCTGACGTAAAATATCCTCATTAGTAGACGGATCATGAGTTAGAGTCCCCTTGCTATGAGGCTAACCGTGTGAGGCTTTCGTGGTTTTCCTTTCCAGGTAAGGCGAATGCGGGTTAGTTCTATCAAAAAGTCCTCCACGAAGGCAAAATTTCTCGGAATTTCTCAATTTATTTCTTACATCCAGGAGTTCCTTTGTCTTCTGAATTGGGTTCAAAATTCCAAGGCTGTGAAATTGAACATCAGTAGTAGTAAACTCAAATTTGGGTCGAGTGTTTAACGACGGTTATAAAATAAAAACAGATTTACTTTTTTTCATTTTGTAAGTACACTCGTTAAAATTCCTAATTTGTACTTGTACTCATTACTTATGTCTTTCGGATCATAGACTAGATATTTCAAAATCAGTTATATGAAGAATAGAATTTTGGACAATATAATGACAAATTACATTTTTTTTTTCAGTCGTAAGGCATTTAAATCAAATTTTTCTTTAGTATATTTTCGAGGTATGTTGTTTACAATATCCCTTAGATAAATATCCTTTAGATAACTGCTTAATATAACACCTTATGACCAACACAAAATTCTTGATCTTATTCTCCCTAAAATGTTCTCTTCAATCTTTTGAAAATGTGATTGGTCATTATATTTCCTCTAGCATTTAATTTGTTTTTGCTCATTTATTTCTAAAAATAACGTTTTAATGTAAGCTTTGATTTCTCTCTCCTGCTTCTTAAAACACTAAGATTTTCAGTATGCTTACACGGAGAAAACAATTCAAATAAAATTATCGTACTAAATAGTAATGACATTTCTGGTAAGGAAAAAAAGCACTAATTTACTAAATTTTATCACATAGTATAAAACAATATTTTATTGTTAATTTTACCAAAGTACCAAAGTGCTTCGGTAAGAACAACTGAGCTTTTTGGTGTTCCCATAGAACCAGAAACACGGTAAATTTTACAATATTCTGGTAGTTTTGAAAATGCTTTTTTTCAAAGTGTATTATCATGAACTTTTTTTGCTTTTTATTTCCAGGCGCATTTCATTGTCATCCTATCATATGCCGTATATGGATTTGTAACAGGTTGTGAAAATTTTGGAAGAACTGAAATAGCTTGTTTTATTTCTGTAACAACAATATTAGTTTTGTTCATTAATTTCTACAAAAAATCGTATCATGTAAAAAATCCTCATTTTAATAAAAAGTATACTGATTATATGTGAGTCGAACTCAATAGTTGAATTGTATTTGTTGTATTCCCTTAGAAATTTAAAAATTAAAAAAAATTTTTAACCTATAGCCATTCACCAAACATGAGCATTGGTTCTTCTTGTATTAGAACACATGATTATAGAAAACAAAATAAATTTAAAAAAACTTCTTGGAAACTTTGAAATACACTCCAAAAAATTACCTATTCTGGCAAAATATCTAAATCTTACCTCATTAATTTCATTATATTAATTAAAAAAACGCTTTAATTTCTAATAAATAAGAATCAAGACTGTTTGTTTTAAACTTTTCCTCAAACCTTGAATAGGAATTGTCATATTATCTTTCAGATAATATGAAATAATTAAGTTTTGTTCATGGTTGCTTCGGTTAATTGTTCGAGAATTATTAGTTGTTACAAGTTATTATTAAATGATTGCAGATCGTAACCCAATTCTGGATATTTTCATAATCTTTAAACATTTCATAATCGCTAAACATTTGTTCCAATCAGAAACAAGAGTCTTTGAGAAGATATACTCAGCCTAAAATTTTTATTTAAAAAAAGCTTTAGTACTGATTTTAATTAAATATTTATGATAGGGAAATCATTCCAAAAATGTCAGTGTCTGTGGACACTGCATTCAAGTTTCCTGAAAATCAACGCATCTCAAATTTTAACTCTTTACTCGAAATTTTTCTTCATTGTAAAAAAAATATCAGTCTTATTAATTTCATCACCAGGACGTTGATATTTTTCTTTTTAAAAAATACTTCTGAGTCTTATTAGTAAACTAATAAGCTTTGAAATTCAAATTATCTTTTCTTTTTTTTTTTGATAATTCCATTTTGTTATTAAAAAGAAATTGTTTTTATATGAGAAAATTTTGATAAAATAAATTATTATAAGGATTGTTTATCGTGCTTCACTGGATTCTTTTATGATTCTGGATTACTTCTCTCTCACCATCATTCTGGAAAAATACAATTTTCATTAAAACTTTCAACCATAAATATCTTACAACAACTTACTTTCTTCAGCTTTTTAACTTAATTAAAAATTGATCTCTTGAGCAAACAGCAGCGTTATTATCTCATCAAGTTGTAAAAAGATATAAAAACTAATTGATACGTGAGAAAAAGAAGTAATTTATACTGAAATATAATTCTGATTATTTAGCTTCATATGTTTTTACTGTCGTCGTCCAAATAAATTTTTATTCGTGCAGCTTATTAAGACATTTTATGATTCAAACCAGGAGGAGAACCTAAATTTATTTCAGTTTTGTTATAGTTTTCGGTATGACAAAAACAATTTGTTTTCAGTTTGGCAACTTTATGATGTAATAAATAGGTTCTCCAGATATTTGAAAGACACGCTGTCTTTTAATAGTAAGCTTGATATGAGTCGTAATATGGAAGAGTTTTAAAGTTGTTGTCCGAACAACGGTGTCTAATTGAAATAGAACGAAATATTCAAAAAATGCCGGTAAATGTGAAATAGTTTTTTTTAACTAAAAATTTAATTTTGTAAAAAAAAAAAAATTAGCTCAGTTTTATTTTTGTTTAAAATTTTTTCCATTATCTTTTTACTATTTAGAATTATAAACTTACTCCAGTTACTTATCTTCTTCAATCTGAATATTCCTTGATTTTATTCAAGATCAATTTTGTAAGTATTGCATTTTGAGAATGTTACCCATCAGAAAAATTATTTAAAATTCATTAAAAGATAATTTTCAGAGATAAATTACAATTTGAAAAACAAATTACAATGCAGGGTGAGTCGCAATGAACACCGTTAATAAATATTTCTAGATTTTTAGTCAAAAATGAGAACAAAAAAAGTGAACACATTGATGACACAAATTAGTTTGCAAACGAGGGGAAAAAACAGAATATAAAAAAAAACTGTACTGAGAAAGACAGGTAAGGGAATCAATTTGGTTGTCATAAGACAATCATTCGAAACACCTGTAAGTTTAGACCGATAAACGACTAGGTTTTGACTTTCAGAATACCCGCCTTTATTAATAGTGATATTTCTGATTTCGATAACTTTTCCACGCTTAAATATCCATCCTGATGACCACATCAGGATTTAATCCCAATGTATAAAATGTCCTGTCTTTCTTTTTAGCAAAATTGTAGCATTTTAAAAATATGTAGACATGATCAAAATGGAAAACACTCCATAAATTTAACTTTTAATGATTTCATAAATTTATTTTATTAGAGAAATGGTAATTTGAATTAAATTTTTAATAAATGAATCCCACTACTTTTCCCTCAAGCAGAGATAATAAATTACAATTAGGGCAAAGACTTTTAACCTGACAAAAAATATTCAGTGAGATTCAAAACAACCATTAAGAGAGGAATTTGTATTATTTTTACTAAAACCACTTTATAATATTTAGTCAATAGCTAGGAACAATATTTTGTTATACAATAGTAAGAATATTTAGTATTATTAGAAGAGAGAAAATAAAATGTGATTCATGAAATGATGTCTTCTAAAGAAAATATTTCTTTATACCCTGAATCGCATTTAAATAAATTTTATTTGAATCAAGTATGTATATACTTATTTGAGTTATGTTTTTCTATCTGTCCTTGTTAAATTAATAAATTATTGAATGAGAATAGATTATAAATTATGCTGAATGAAATATGACTTGTAGCTTTAGTCATCAGTAAAATATATTTTTTTAAGTAATTTCATAGATGTAACCAAATTTGGGAATCTTCATCATCAATTTCAAACGTGAAAATTACTGCTGCATAATTTATATTTTTCAATATATTCAGGGGCTAAGCTCCCTGTACACTGCCGCTTACCAACCCTGATGATTGCTTTGCAACAATTGTTGTTTCTTATCAAAAAACAGTTTTTTCTACGAAAGCTAAAACTATTTATTTTTACTATTTGTACTATAAGAGTTCTGTTTGCTTACGCTTCTTACCCCCCCCCCTTCTCCCGTCAACCTTCATTTCTTTAAATTAAATGTTTAATTTGAGTCAAATTTAATTGGTAAATAGTATAAAAGATCTCGTATAATAGTTTTCCCCTATGATTCAATTAAGATCTATTGGTGAACATAAATTGATTTGCTTAGTAATCATCTTTTTGAATAATCATCTTTCTTCTTCTAATGCACTTTAGAAATTATTATCAATTGTCTGACCCGAAAAAAAATTAATTACCAATTTTTCAATAATTCTTTTAATTTTTCTTTTTAACAGAAAATATTGAAGTAAAACTATATTCTCTTTCTTTCTAGAAATACATCCCATTTGACGAAGTGATTGAGTTAATCAGCATTCATTGAATTTCCAAACCAATCAGACAATTAAAAATACTTGTCGTAAATGCAAAAGTAATACAAATAAACCAGCATGAGTTCATGGCAAAAGAAACTCGATCCTTTTTTCTTGGAATTAAATGAGACAATTCCTAAATATCGTCAAAAGATGTTCAGAGTCAATAGTTCCCCTCCAAAATTATTTAATTTCGTAACTGATCATGTTTTAAAAGACTCGTCTATACCCATCATCTCACAGATTGGCAACGCTAGAACAAAAATCGGCAAAGGTCTTTGGTTTTTTATACTTCTAATAGGTCTGATAGCTTGCATCTACCAAACTCAAAGATTTCTCAATATTTATTTAAGTTATCCTGTGGTTATAACATTGGAAGAAAAGCAAAATACGGCATTAAATTTCCCTGGCATTACAATCTGTAATCTGAATCGTATGAAATATGAATATGAAAGATGTGAAAACAGTGATATAATTGAACGAGGATGTATTCGAAGCAATTCGATGCGTCCTCCAGGAGGAATGTTTCATACACATCCTTCCAAAAGTAAGAACCACTTTTCAGAACGTCGAGACACCATTTCTTGTTTAAATGTTAAAAACAAAACTATAGGAGACAAAACTAAAATGAAAATGGAATTTCTTAGTAAGTATATGATAATGAATGAAGCAAATCGCGAGTTTGTTGGACATCAAGCATCAGACTTGATCAAATATTGCTGGTTTGATGGCAAACCATGCTCGCACATGGACTTTGCACATTTTCCCAGCTTACGATATGGAAACTGTTACGTCTTCAACAAAGTTGATGGAAGTAAATTGCCTCTAAAATCCACATTAGAAGGATATATTAGTGGTTTGGAGTTAGTTACAAATCTAGAGGTAGAACAATACATATCTTTCACTTCTTCCATTGGACTGCGTGTTTTGATCCATGATGCAACCGAAGAACCAAACCCAGAAGAAGAAGGAATAAACATAAACCCCGGTTTTGAAACATCTATAGCTTTGAAACAAACGGTTATTGAACGGCTACCTGCACCATATCGGGATCGTTGTATAAATTACTTAACTCGAGTGAATCAAAGCAATGAAGGAGAATGCATGAAAATTTGTCTGCAGGAGCAAAGTTTTCAAATGTGCGATTGCATTGACCCGACTGTGATGATACTTCCTGGTCTAAAACATTGTAATTTGCTGGATGAGACGGATGTATGTTGCCTGGACAGCGTCCAAGACAGAATTGCTTTAGGGGATTTGCCTTGCGATTGCCCGCTACCATGTACTACGACATCATACGAGGAGGAGCTCTCTAAAGCTTTATGGCCATCGAAGTCTGTGTACATTTTGAATAGAACAGATTATTATACCTTTGATTACCTAAAGAATAATTATGTCTTTTTGAAAGTATTTTATTCCACTCTGATACAAAATGTTTACACACAACTTCCGATGTTTGAAGAATGTGAAATATTTAGTCATCTAGGAGGAGAGTTGGGATTATGGCTTGGGCTTACTTTATTTGCTTTATTGGAATTGATCGAAGTGGTAATCTATTTTTGCAATGATTTACAAGGATATTTTGCAATGAAATAAGATACATAGTATATATTTTTGGTAAGGTTTGAGTCAATAAATCTTCTAGGTTGAACAATACCTTTGCTAAAGAGTCAGTTTATGATTCATTTAAAGGAATTCATTCTCACTGCATGCGGAACGCTTATGCGAGCAAAAGTAAATATGATTCACGCGCAAGAAATTCATCTTACATGTTTCATAGTTTCTAATCAATCTAGGGTAACAGGATACAGAGTGAATGGCCCTTAAGAAATAAAAACATAAATATTTAAACCTATATTAAAGTAGTAGTAGTTGTAGTAATACTTTAGTCGATGTCATGGAGTTTTTGAGGTAAAACACCAAGGTTATTCATATGGTAGCGTCCGCAAGTGTTTATTATAGTAGTTCAATGTGAGTTCTTTTGCTACTTCAACTTCCATAGAAATTAACTGTTAATCATTTAAAAAAATCCTCCTTAATTTTGTGTCATAAACTAGTCTAAAAATAAACCAATACGAACCATACATATACATAGTATATAATAAGAAGGTCTAAGAGAAGGAGATAGTAACTCAGTATCTCCCCCGCGCAAGTAGGAAAAAAATGGAATAAGTAAAGAGTCTAAAAGTGTCCTGCCGTAATAAAGCCATTACTGTTAATAGTCAATATATCCACTATGTTTATGCATATCCGCCATGTTACCCAAAATATATGATTTCGCGTATCATTTACTCAACTCTAGAGGACATTAGCATCAAAATTCTCTTTGATTTCAATGATGGCATACTTCAATTCTGCCACAGACTGAAACTCTTTCTGAAATTCTTTTTCTTTCTTTCTACTTCCTTTTGCTTGTAAATAGATATCAACAGATGATGTAGTTTGATACGATAGATAAAATGAAACAATAGTTGTGGAAAAGCAGAGGGAAGGGACAGCAAGGTGGATGCTCTTTTATGGTGTGGGAAGTCTTCGACAATAGTGGTAAATTAGTGTGACTGTGACTGTTTTCCCAAGCAGCATGATTTCTAGAAACTACAAATGATTTCTAAAACCTCATTTAAAAGAAGATAGGTGGTCCACATTGGATTTTCTAGCGAAGCAACCACCCCAATCCACATTTTAATATCTTTAAGGGCATAAGATAGCTTCAAGGTGTAAAGTCTTCAAAGGTTTCGATAATAAGATATATGTTAAAAAAGCTGTCGACTTATTCATATGATCCTGAACCAAGAGGAATGTATGTTTAGTACTCTTATATGTACTCCATTTAGTTATGTACTCTTTGTAAATAATGTGTCCAGCTATCGACTTTCTTAATATATATGTTTGGTTCACATTAGTTTTCTTTTTGTCAAATTTGTTTCAGTGGGACCCACTTACCGAACGATATCTTCCATCAATCACTTCACACACACTGGCCAGTTTTAGATATTTCACAACTATCTCTTTTTTTTAAAGCTTTATCATTTCTCTTTTTGAAAATGTCCTCGAATCTTCATACTGCCAAATTAACATAAAAAATCTAATATGAGTTTTTAAAAAAAAAGTAAAGTAAATAAATAAATGTTAATGCGTAATAACTGTAATTTCATACGACAAAATTTAAGACTTTTCTCGTCGTGGAATATATAAATAAACATTTTCATTTCAATAAAGTTTTGATTCTATCAACAATACAAAAGTTAAAAAATGTGGTAAAAATAACCACTGCCGTGACCAGGATTCGAGCCTGGGTTATTGCGGCCACAACGCAATGTACTAACCACTATACGATCACGGCTACGCACGGGTTTCAGCGTGTTACACAGTAGTTTATAGAAACGTCATCTACAATTGAAATGCGAATTTTAAAATAAATGGAGCATATCAATCTCATCGAAAGTATTGCTTTCCTACTCGTGGTATAGGTGGCAGCATTGGGGAAAATTGAAATTGAAGTTTTTTGAAAAAACTTTGTTTTAATTTTTTTCTTTCTTTCTTCTTACAAAATAAATAAATAAATAAATGAAATAAAATAAGCAAAGCTTTCAAATTGTCTATTTAAGTACAATGTTATCATCTCTCATAACTATTTCATCAAAATTAATAATTATTCCGTTAAAATTACACAGGTAATAGTACAAGTAAATTTCAATTGATTTAGTTTCCGATTCGATTGGAATAAAATTTAAAACTATTGTCATAGCTATTTCTAAAAGAATCTTCTTTTTTTAATTCTAATTTAATTTTTGTTTCTAAAAAGCCTCGTTAAAAATTTCTAGCAAAAGAAATCGTTTAGCAATAGTGCAAAATGGTAATTGCTAACATTGCTTTACAGTTTTAAATAACTTTTTTGAAATACTTATCGTAATTGCATACTATGTTAACTGCGCTAATTTTACATGAAATTTGTTACAATAGTTAATGAAGCTAATTTAAAAATTAAATTAAAAATTACTGTTTGATAATCGCAAAAACAAGTTAACTAAATCTATGCAACATAAAACGTAATGCAATAAAGTAAAAAAATGCAAAACGTAATGCTACTTTTCATATTTTCTGAAGTCTATAATCCAAGTCTACCAAACGATAGTATCGTTGTACAGAAAAGTACGTTGCGTCTGATTTTGAGACATAAAATATTTTTTACACTTTTGAAGTCAACTCTTCAAACCAATAAGATTGACACATATTTCAAGAAAATCCAATCATGAGAAGAAACTAAAAAAGAACTTTTAGATTAGATTATAAAGAATTAGAAGAGACTGAAAAAAAACTATCAGATTTTGCTTTTTTCTTATGTAAGAAGACATGAAATAGACCATGAATTTCTATTTAAAAGCATGTGTTTCGTTATAAAAATATGCTATTTAACACTGTATTAGCTTTCAATTTTTAGGCTATTTCTTTATTTTTTTTAAAACCAATTTCCTGATCTTTTTAAGTTTGAAATATTCCGTAATTTGATACCACAAGCAATTAAAGAAAAGAAGAAAAAAAAGATTTTTAAGATAGTGGTCAAAATAAGAAGTATTTCACAATGACCAAAGTATTTCAAAAAAATTACCACCTACTTAATCTTTTTAAGCATTTTACTTCTGAAATATATATCATTATTATATAAGCTCCCATTGTGAAATGTCGTGTAATTTGATACCATGCACAATTTTTATAAAAGAATTTTCCTGAGGGGTCCGTTTTTTATTTTGCGTGCTATGACCTGTGTAAATATTTGCGCCTCACAATGGTGGAATTTAACATTTAGTACATGCAATTGTTTCATGTAACAAAAAGCAATGTATGCAATATTGGTGATCCTTTATTTTAAAGTTTTCCAGGCATGTACAAGAAATTTGTTTTTAGTTCATGAATATTTTTTTTCCCATTTAATTCAACAGAAAGCAAATCTTTACATCTCTTACTCATACTTTTAATCAATTTAATAGGAAACATAATTCGTATAATGGTTCAGTCTTTAAATTTAATAGGTAATTCTCTATAGTTCATACTTTTGATACTATAGTCCATACTAAAATGTTCTTTCCATTAAGAAAAAAAGCCCTTACTCCATGTTTTGTAATTAAATAAGTAAAGAAAAAAATCATTATAAATTTTGATTTACTTTTCCCTTTAAAATACTTAACCATCTGCGCAAGTTTCTAAACGAAAGAAAGCTAATATGAGTAAAAGAACAAAAAATGCTGATGTGTAATAACTATAATAATATATACGCCAAAATTTAAGACTCTTCTAGTCGTGGAATATATGCATAAAATTTCGTTTTAATAGAGTTTTGATATTATCAACAATACAAAAGTTAAGAAACATGATAAAAATGACCACTGCCGTGACCAGGATTCGAACCTGGGTTATTGCGGCCACAACGCAATGTACTAACCACTATACGATCACGGCTACGAATGGGTTTCAGCGTGTTACATAGTAGTTTATAGAAACGTCTACAAATGAAATGCGAATTTTAAAATAAATGGAGCATATCAATCCCATCGAAAGTAATGCTTTCCTACTCGTGGTATAGGTGGCAGCATTGGGGAAAATTAAAATTGAAGTTTTTTGAAAAAAACTTCGTTTTAAATTTTTTCTTTCTTTCTTTTTACAAAAAAAAATAAATAAAATTAACAAAGTTTTCACATTTGGCTATTTCATTACAATGTCATCAACTCTCATAAATATTTCATCAAAATTAAAAAAATTTCTGTTAAAATTACACAGGTAATAATACAAGTTTATTTCAATTAGTTTAGTTTCCGAATCGATTGGAATAAGATTTAAAACGATTATCATAGCTATTTATACAGTTAACCTGCTTTTTAAATTCTAATTTAATTTTTGGTTACTAAAATGCCTCGTTAAAGATTTCTCGCAAAAGAGATCGTTTAGCAATGGTGCGAAAAGGTATTTTCTAACATTTTGCTTCACGGTTTTAAATACTAGTTACTTTGAAGTCATTATCGTAATTGCATATGTTGACTGCATTCAATTTTAAATGAAATTTGTTACAATTGTAAATGTATCGTATTTAAAAATTAAATTAAAAAAAATCACTGTTTGATAATTGCAAGAACAAGTTAACTAAATCTGTGCGTCATAAAGAATAGAGAAATATAAAATTACTTTTTGGAATAATAAAGGAACCAAAAACAAAATGTAAATATAACGGAATATAAAAAGGAATGATAAATAAATATTTCTGATTAAACCTTCATGTAAGGGATAAATAAACAATTTACTTGTTGGTAAAACCTCCTTACTGAGAGGGCGCTGTGAGCGCATCAACAAGCAGTGAACATGTAGACACGGAAGTGTTAAGTTGTATTAATTCTTTTTTCGTTATTAAATATTTGTTTCGTTATATTTGATTTGATTTCGCCGATGAATTATTTTGAACTATTGATATAAAACCACTGAACCTACCTTGATGTTGATTTGAACACGGAACACTTGTACTAAATGCCTTGTTGACTTATAGATGTTGCAAATTGCAACATCTATAAGTCAACAATTTACGATAAAAATCGTTTTACGCTCATGCA